CCGACCCGCTCCGGCATTGAAGTCGCCGAGGATCACCCGCGGGTCGTTGACAGAGTCTTTGGCGAACATGTCCTCCAGCATGTCGTAGAACTCAATTTTCTCCTCCAAGGGGCGTTCACTATGTGGAGCGCATGCCGTAATAATGCCGGCTTTGCCCCCTCTGACGGACAGTCTCAACGACGCTATTCGCGGGCCGTGCTGCAGAAAGCCTTGAACGCACCGTCTCGCCCAGGGTGCCACCGCGAAGCCCAGGCCGGCCCGAGCCGAGCCCGCGCCTGACAATGCAATGACAAATCAGTAGTCTTCGAAAATGTTTGAAATCGATTTCCAAGTCCCTTGCATGCACATAACATCGATACTGTAATCCTCCATGGCCGCATGAATGCAACCTAATTTCTCGTCAGTGAGACCTTGACCGTTCCACGTGCCAGCAATGAGATGCCGCCTGCTTCCGCCGAGCTGTCCTCCCCGAGGGTGTTCCGCGCCGTCGCCTTCACAATGGTCACGGGGTGAAAACACAACTGCGCCGACGCACCCAGGGCCCCGTCACTGGCCGGAGCCAGGCGCGCCCTTCCCTTTGCCCTTGGAGTTCCGGATCTTCGCGGCCGTTAGCTTCGCCTCGGCCTTGGTGATCAACCCCTGCAGCTGGACAGCCTTCACCAGGTCCTCCCACTCCTCCCATGTCTTGGCCAGCCACTTCACCTTCAGCTTGCCGTTGTCCACGTCGGCGCTCATGATGGACTCGCCCGCCTCTGCCATTGAGAATGTGCCCTCGTCGATCCAAATCGCCTTCCTATTGAACCCCCACTCCGTCAGCATCCGCTTGAAGCCGAAGAGGAAAGAAAGACGCACTCGTTCGTGTAGCGGTCGATCTTGTTGGCCCCAGACCTGTTGCCCCTTGTACTTCAAGCTCTGGTCCCTGAAATACTCGACGGCCTGGCCCATGCTCGCGCCGTTTGGAAAGCTCGCGAAGAAGAAACCCTCAAACGCATCCCCTTTCACGAACATATCGTCGGGCCGCTTGAGACCAGCCTTCTCCGAGTTCCGCGAGACCCAAATCGCCGACTCCTCTAGGCCGTCCGCCGCCGACGTACCCCCGATCACCGCCACCGTCCGGGCAGCAGGCGGCAAGTCCGTGAACGTGCTTCGTGGCAAACCCGCGCGACGACATGGTCTCCAGCACGATATTCTGGATATCCTCCTTCGTGATGGTGCTTTCCCTGATATTGTTCACCTGGTCCTCCATGGCCGTCAGGTCCGAGCGAGTCTGCTCCGCGCACTTCTTGGCGGAGTTCGCCTGCTCATTCGCCTCCTGTATGGCTTTCCTGTTCTCCTTGGCTAATCCTCTCATCTCCCCGTGATATTTCTCATATCCTTCATCATGGACTTCATCATGCTGACAAGATCCTCCTCCTCCTGATCCTTCGTCTTCCCGCCACCCGCCACGGACGAGTTCTCGCCCCCTGTCCTCTCCATTGTTTGGCTGAAGTCCGGTTGCCGCATAGGTGACCGCACAGCGCCACCTTCGTCGTCGCCATCCATCTGGTTCAGCGGGGAATCGAGGCGAGCTTGCTTACGCTCTCCACCAAGAAGCGTCCCCATGTGGTGCTTCTCTGCCGGCATCGCGGCAGCTAGAGGGTAGGGGAACGGATATGGTATGTTGGTGAGTGTGGCTCGGCGCACCCTCCCCGAAACGACCTCGATTTGATACCTTGAGCCAAACAGGGTCGGAATCAAAATGACCACGATCTGAAGTCGAACCGAACAGGGTCGGAATCGAAACGAACCCTACAATCTGAGGCCTCTGTACAATAAGAAGCGAGCGAGCAGCACGCGCAGCAGGAGCGACGGCGCGCGTGGTCCGCGCTGACACTCCTCGTGCCTCCCGTGGCGGGTCCCGAGAGAGGCAGTCCCGAACCATCGGAATTCCAGGGCCGATCCAAGCAACCCGCGTGGACCTCCGAACACGTGAGCGACGATCAAAGACGGGCCTTGCACGAGGTGGCGTGGCGAGCTTACGCGGTGGCGCATTAGGCGGGCCGCCAGCGCGGAACGCTACTTTGGAGAAGAAGGCGCTCACGCGCGACCTTACGCGGGCAGCTTGCGCGCCCATGTCGGCGCAGACGACCCTGTTGTTGTGCGTCGCTCATGTTTGTGTGTGTTGTGTGTGTGTTGTGGCGTGCTGTGCTGTGTTGTGCTGTGCTGTGTTGGGTTGTGGTGTGTTGTGTTGTGATGTGTTGTGTTGTGGTGCGTTGCGTTGCGTTGTGCTGTGGTGTGTTGTGTTGTGTTGTGGTGTGTTATGGTGTGTTGCATTGTGTTTGTTGTGTTGTGTCGTGTGGTGCTTCGTTGTGGTGTGTTGTGTTGTTATGTGTTATGTTGTGTTGTGTTGTGCTGTCTTGTGTTGTGTTGCCTTGTCTTGTGTTGTGGTGTGGGGTGGTGTGGGGTGTGGGTGTGGGTGTGAGTGTGGGTGTGGGTGTGGGTGTGGGTGTGGGTATGTGTGTGTGCGTGTGCGTATGCGTGTGCGTGTGCGTGGGTGCGTGTGCGCGTGTGCCTGTTCGGACGAGAGAGGGGACGAGCGAGGGAGGGATCAAACACTCACGAGCATTGGGCCGACACGTGCCCTGGGGATCATCGATCCGTGGTGTTACCCGGCGCCATCCGTGCCTCATCCCGAGGGGCGCTACGAGCGCTGGGCGCTGGGCGCCCCCTGCGTGCCCCCGCGCCTCCTTCTGTGCGCCCAGCCTGCGCTTCTCTGGCGCCGGCTCTCCTCGGGGCCCTGGCGGCTGCGAGCTTCGAGCCCTGATCGCTTCGCGCCTGCTGGCGCGCGCGCGCGCCAGAGCAACGCAACCACGGTGATTCGGGCCGGAGGCCCCCGCTGGGATTGGCGAGGCGTGCACTCCCTCGCGGGCTGGTCCGCGCCAGCAATGCGGCGATGAGCAGGCATCCTTCTTTCTCGGTTGCCCCTGAGATCAGACTTGGGGTGTGCTTTCTAATATGTGGCCACGCGTTCTGTATGGCGGGCATGAAGGAAAGCGCGTTCTGCTTAACCCCTGGCGATACCTCAATTGCTTGCGATTATGATCGTCGCGCAATGCTTGCCATACGACCGCTGGCACGACAATAATATGTACATCCCAACCCCTCGCACTCGGGTGCGGACGCATTCAGAATGCAGGAGAGGATGTCGAGGGCGGGCGCGAGGGTGCGCGCGGAGGAGCGAGGAGCAGAAGAAAAGAGAGAGAGAGAGAGAAACAAAAAAAAAAGAGATGAGGACTGCACTGCACTGCAGGGCCAAGCGTTCTCGGAGCCTCAACGGGTGATCCGTATCTCGTGCTTCCGCAAAGCGCAGTGCACTGCGGACTCAGCACTAACGTAGACATGAATGCCCATCGATGCCTATCAAAATTGGGTCCAGATCAACTTTGCGATGGCGAGTTCGCTCCTTTCCAAGCTGCGTTGGTATAGCCAAGCGTGCTCTGGAAAGTTGTGCCCTGGTGTGTAATACGAAAAAATTATCCGCATCAGGAATAAAATAAAGATGTCGACTGTGGGCCAGTAAGCTGCCATGGGAATGTGGTACAATTCTGTATACAAAACAAGCCCCGATCCAGCAATGTGAATGAAGAGGGGTAGAAAGCGCGCGACGTGCAAAACAAAAATGACACAGGCCCTCAGGAAGGTAGGTCAATGCGCAACCAGGTTCTTGCCATCTCTGGAGAAGTAGGCGCATCTGTTAGCCACAGCTCGGCGCTGGGTGGCTTTAGTCTCCGCGTACATCGTGGTGAACGGCGACCGTGCGCCCCGTCCCCCTCCGCCTCTCCGCAGCAATATCAAACGTTCGCTTGTCCCACTGCGGGCCCCGCAAAACCTCGCCGAGTGCAGCAGCTGGCGCCCAGGTCCTCGTGCTTCCTCTTGGGAGCCCGTGGTTCTCGCAATCGTTCCTGCGGCCGTGCACCGTACCCTCTGGCTCAAGGCCACGGGCGGGCCCCCTCCTCAGGGCCTCCCGCGCTCAGAGGGGCGCCCGACTCCAATTGGCCCCGTCCCCGCGCCCGGGCCGCGCGAGGCGGCCGCCCCCGGCCGCCCCCCTGCGCCCAGCTCGCCCTGGTGTCCCGCCTGGGTGCATGGACCCGGAAGGGATTTCCAGTGGCTCTCTCTTCACTCCTCCAATCCATGATCGAAGGGGCTGCTGCGGGGAATCACACTGCTGAGTCCCCCCCCATCACCTGGACGGCGGAGCCACGAGGGCCAGGACCCGCCTTGCAGGGACAGGAAGGGGCACCCGGAAGGGTGGCACCTGGTCGGGAGCCCTCCCACCCGTGGCTCGAGCGCTCGAGTCGTGCGCTCCATGGGCCCCTGGTTCTCGTGTGTTTGCTTCAGGGCGCGCCCAGCGCATGCGGCCCATGCGGCAGACCTCCGTTACCGCCTCCTGCGAGGCGCGCTCCCCCCTACCGTGCGTGTGCTCGGCCCTTCCAGCCCGCGCCGCCGACGCCGGAGCAGCTCTCCCTGGCTCGCGGCGGCGCTGCCACTCGCAAGTCGACCGCCGCATCGCCCGCTGCGAGCCTCCAGCGGGCGGGCGCACACGGGCGGGGCATGGCTCAGAGATTTTGTTGACTATCGGCGCAATGCGGAGCAAGGGATGAGATCACCGCGAAGGGCGTGAGGGGAGGCTGAACCATTGCGTCCGGCAAGCGTGCAGCTGCGACCAAGCCTGCCAAGCGTCTCTAACTATGTAACACAATTGCGAATCCAAGGGTGAGGGCAAGGAGGAGACGAGAACAGCCAAAGGCGCCGGGTGTGCATCAGTCCCCAGGTCCCGTCGACCACTTATATACTGGGGGATGGCTCAGAGAAGTGAGGAGGGGGAAGAGGAATAATTGAGCAGAGAAAACAAGGGACAAGGGAGGAGAAGCGACGGGGCCGATCAGAGGAAGAGGATCAAGGAGGAGGAGGAGGAGGAGGAGGAAGAAGAGGAGGACGACAACGACAAGTTGGCCCAACGCCTCGGACAGCTCCTCCTGCACCTTCGCCAGCTGCTCGGACAGCTCCTGCACCTCCCAGGGGCCCCAGCCCAGGCGAGGCGGAGAGGGCGAGGGTCCTGCCTCCTCCCTCCTTCTTCCTTTCTTCGTGGGCGGCCAAGAGGGGGGCGTCCAGGGGGGGGCGCAAATCGTGGCCAGCGGCCCGTGCGCGGCCTACGGCCGGGGGGGGGGGGGGCCAGGGACGTATTGAAACAAAAAGAGGCGCCATGACATGTGGGGAAATAGCATTGCCCTCGCAATGATGTCCATTCCCCTCTGGACATCAACCCCTTCTTTGCCGCCTTCGAACGTCGTGCCGGGCCACGGGCCATGTCCAGCACAGCTGCCCGCACAGCTCTGCCCGCACAGCTGCCGTGCACGCCGCCCCCGCCGGGGGCACCTCCTGGCAGGCGCAGGCGGCCGCGAGCACCCAAAGGATTCCGGCTGGCGCTGCGGCCGACCAAAACCGACGCTTCGCGCCGCTGTGCGAAGGCTCGGCTTTGCGCCGGGTCGATCAGGCGGATTTGGGAGGAACAAATGAAATACTCCGACGGTCGGACCCCGCGCGAGAATCGATTTAGCGAGCCCCTTGCATTTTTGTTTTTTGTCTGGCGGGGGTTTCCTTCCGCCCTCTCCGTCCTCCTCCTCCTCTTCCTCCTCCTCCTCCTCGTTCTCCTCCTCCTGTTCCTTCTCGCCCCGCCCGTTGCGTTTGTCAGTCTTTTTCCTTTTCCGTCTCCTCCTCCTCCTCCGCCTCCCCCACTTCCACCCTGTCCTCCTCATGTTCCTTTTCTTCCTCGGCCTTTGCCTTGCCCTCCTCCAACTCCTCCTCCTCCTTCTCCCCCTCCTCCATCGCCGCCGCGCTCGTTCTCCTCCTGCGCCTCTCCTTCCTCCTGGCAGGAGCGCGCGCGTAGATTTTCCTCGGTGCCCTCGCCGCCGCGCCTGGCGGGGGCCCGTGCTCCGACGGCGAAATCGCGCAGCGGTCGGGGCCAACCCCGCGGGCCAGGCCGTCGGGGCAACCCCGCGCGCCGTTGGCGCGCGAAACCAAGCAGCTGGGGAAACCCAGCGGGCTCCGGGCGGGGCGCCACCGCGCCCGGGCGGGGGGCAGCACGAAACCCAGCTCAGCCGCGAGCTGTTCCGCCTTTGCCCTGGCGCTGTCCGCTCTGATGTCGAACTCCAGGAACGCCGTCCACGAGGATGCCGGCGGCCCTCGTTCCAGGAACTCCCGCGGCGGCGGCCGCAGGATCAGCATGCTCCCCGCGCGCGTGGCGCGGGGGAGCGTGAACCGCTGCTCGTCCGACGCGCCCGCGCGACCAGCGCCCGCGCCCCTCGCGCAATCGATGGTGACGCCCTTGCGCAGCGCATGGCCCTGCGACAGCGCGGAGGCGAAGTGCGACGCGTACGCCGGATGGCGCGCGCCGAGCGGTGCGCGGCGTGCGGCCCCGAGCTCTGCCGCGTGAACTCCTGCTCGATGGACCTGAACACGCGCGAGCTCCTCGCCCGCGCCTCGGCCTCGCCGTCGTCGTTGGCGCCTTACCCAGCAGCCCGGCGACCTCCCGGTAGATCGGGGGCTCCAAGCCGCGCGCCTGCAACAAATTCCCCGCGGTAGGTAGCGGGGGCGGGAGAGCTGGCCCCGCGGGCGCTCCTCGTGCCGGCGCTCGTCCACGGGGTGAAACTCGAAGGGTGCGACGGTGGCCCGTCGCTCCTGCGCGAGCCCCAGCTTCTTCTTCTTCTTCTTCAGCTCTTCCTGCGATGCCGTGCGTCGCAACTCCGTGCCGACGCGGGCCGGCAAGACGCCGTGGATGTCCCCTGTTTTGCGCGCGCTCGGGAAGTTCAGGAGGCGCCCGCCCGCGTCGAGATCGCCCTGAATCGTGCCGCGCTCGTCCACGTCCTGCAAGAAAACGAAGGCACGCCCAGACGCCGCGCGTCGCGACGAGCGCGCGTGCTGATCCACCTCGCCAGCGTATTCCAGTAGATGCCCGCGCCGTAGCCGAGCCGAAAGTTCTCGCGCTGGCGCCGAGGGTCCACGCCGCCGTGGTTGTCCGAAACAACGTCGCTTTCAGGGGCGGACCAGACCTCTGGCGGGAGGGACGTGCCCTCGCACGTGCAGCCCAAGAACGTGATCAGAGAGCCCCCGGGTTCGAATCGCTTCGTGCTTTTCAACTCGAAGACGCAGAAAATCTGAGAGAAGACCGCGATGGCGTGCTGACTCCGCGTACTTGTGGGGCCCGTCGTCCCGGAGCTCGCTCACGTCCGTCAGGAGGCCGATACTGCTCGTGGGCTCCAGCAGCAGGGAATCGTCGAGGTACAACACGATAGGTACGGGCCCGAAGTGGTGATGCGATTGCTTGTGAAAAAGGACCCCTGCACGTCGTCCGTGTCACTGCGTCCGTGGCACGCGCGAAGATCCAGGCGATGTACGGCGCGGCCGTCACCCGCCTGATACTTCCTCCAGATCCAGGCCTCAAGGGCCCAAGAGCGCCGACACTTCCAGGATCCCGAAGGCCCACTCGGATTCAAAACATGAGCGGCGGGCCCCATAGGGAGAAGGCTCCCGTCTGAAACTTCCTCGCAATACACTCACAGACGAGGTTCCTGCCTGATACTTCCACGTTCAAGCCTCAGGGGGCCAAATATAACGATTATTACATGATTCCGATGACCCGCTCGGATTCGAAACATGGGTAGCGGACCCCATAGGAAAGGGGGTTCCCATATGAAACTTCTTCGCAATGGCCTCACGAACGAGGCTCCCGCCTTTTTGTTTTGGAAGAGAGCGCGCCAGAACACGAGCAATCCGCAGATCCTGCCAAGGGGCCCTAACGAACACACTCCAGCACAGCAGGCAGAAACATTGCATTATTTCTGTCCGCGCAACCACGGGCACGGGGCCGCACCAGACGATTTATTGATCGCATCCATCCGTGCTCTTGCTGCACAACTGGCCTGATTTAGCGGAGCCAGGATGGGGAACGACGGGAGCAGCGAAAGAGGAGGAGGGAAGGAGGGAGGGAGAAAAACAGCACCGGCGATGATGTGTAAGAATTGGGGTTTCAAACAACAGACGTGGAAGTAAATGCGGTTGCCCTTGGAAATCGGTCTTCGAATTTCCTTCCAGCGCCGCTTCCAGCCACTGGGAATCGGTATTCGAATTTACTTCCGGCGCCGCTTCCATGCTTAGGAGAACGGCCATCAAGCAAAATCGGGCGAGTGCGGAGCGAAACGAAAATCCCCCAATCGTATCGGTGAGACGGGGTGGAGAAGAGGAGGAGGAGGAGGAGGCAAGGGGAACGGCGGAGAGGAAGCTACGTGAGATATCTAGCTCCGTGCCCAGTAATGTCGCTGGGGGAGGGCCCCAAACGCGTCAAGCGCGAACATGAAATGGAAAGTCGAAGCCCGAATCGACCGAGAAGGAAGTCGAGCGGGAACATGCAGGAGCGAACAAGGGGGGAGGCGAGGCCACTAAAATGCACAGGGGCGCGGAACTAATGCGTATCGGCATGCAGCGGAAGTGCGCTAAACCCTCACCTGGTCCAGAGCCCGCTGACAATCGCAGACAGCTTGGCGTGGCGGGCAGCCACGTCACACCGAGCCTGCTCCCAGGCGTCCGCAGCATTGGCGACTCTGCCATGCCGCGCTGCGTTGGTCGCAATGAAGACTGCGTAGAGGTGGAGGGCTCTGATCGCCAGCTGCTCGGGGATCCCTTGGTCGTCCAGCAGCAAGAACGCCTGCAATCTCCGCTCGGGCGGGGCTGGCAGGATGCGCAGCCGCGAGCGGGCAAGGCGGCAAACAGCCGGGCAGGTGGCATAGTGTGGGAGGGCATCCTTGCCGGAGAAGCACCCGAAGATGCACCCACCTCCCCTTCCGCTGGCCTCTGCTGTGGTCCACCCTCCCATCAGGGCCTTCAGCGTGGCTGCCCATACACAGGGGGGGACCAGCTTAGCGATTCGATCCAGTGCTGTGTTCATTCGTCGCGCGCGATGGCCTGGGAGGATCGCGAGGGGCCAGCGCTCGAATCTTCTGCGGACGTGGCGGTGCAAGAAGTCGATGTCCTGTGGCCGCAGCACCTCCGTGCAGCGGCGCTGCCAGAGCCTCTTCGTGATGGGGGCCTCGGACGTGCCCTGCAGCAGCTGCTGAGCGTGCATCACGTTGAAGATGAAGTTGTGCATGTACCAATTTTCCACCCGATCCATGAAGTCAGAGTTCATCCGGGTTTGGATGAGACGCCGCTGGCGGCCGTCGAACTGCAGACCACCTTGTGCTGCATTTTCCCACCGGTAGACTCGACACTTTGCTCCCTGGGCGGTGGCCCGCAGGTTCGGCACCTCGGCCGGGAACCCCAAGCCCTTCAAGTGCTGCAGCAAGCATGGGCAAGCCCACCCCCTGGTCCCGGGGAAAAGCGTTTCCAAAAGCTTCCGCTCAGTCTGCGCCTAATGCTCGGGGAGGGCTTCCAACTGTAAGAGGAAGCCCGCCAACGGGAAGATGTAGATGCGGAGGGCTGCGATGGAGACCAGCATGCCTGCTCCAATGTCCTTCCACGTGACAGCCCGCTTCCGCATCTTGGCGAAGACACTGTCCCAGATCGCGGTCCCCCGCGTGGGGCCCAAGTAGAAACCCAGATACTTCGCATGGCCTGCAAACGTAAATTCTGCCCAGAGCTTAGCCTGACGAGCGACGTCAACACGTACATCGGCGTGGGGCCGAAGAGAGAGCGGAATTATGATGGACTTGCCGCGGTGGAGCTTCAGCCCGGAGACGAACTCGTACTCGGCAAAACGAGGCTGCCGCCTTGTACTTCCTCCATATCCATGCGTCAGGGGCCAAAAAGTGACGACAATTGAAAGATCCCGATGACCCGCTCGGGGTCTAAACATGAGCGGCGGGCCCTATAGGGAAAGGGCTCCCGCCTGAACCCCCCTCGCAGTTCACTCACGGACGAGGCCCCCGCCTGATACTTCCTCCATATTCAGGCCTCGGGGGCCCCAAAGTTTCGACAAGATTCCGATGACCTGCTCTGATTGAAAACACGTGCGGTGGAC